AAGAGAGCTGGAGGAGATGCTCTGGAAATCTTCTCATAACAAGTAATAAACTAACACATAAGCTTAGAAAGACAGGATCTCACAAAGTATATTGTTTATTAACAGGTTTTTTCCCATTACTAACTGCAGTCTAACAGGGTAATGATCTCCTACTCTTGGGTTTTTAGTTTAGTGTGGGTTACTTTTCTTTCTCCTTAGTTATAGTTCCCCTTCCCTTCGTTTCTTTGTAGTTTATGTAGTATTATAAAAAATTAAAAAATCCCCTCCGGGGGTCTTAAAAAAAAGTGCACTAGAGAACTGACCTAGCTTGAACACCTAAACAATAGACTACTAGGATCCTGAAAGGGACCTATTGAACAGGAGTTATCTTGTAAATAGCCTACCACCGGGAGTGTGTATGTGTTGGGTGCGGTGTTTTGCACATATTTAAGCAGGGCTCCGGTCCTGTTAGAGTTTTCTTAGAGTGTAGTTGAAATCATTAATAAACTATGAGCCCTCAACGCGTCTGAACCCAGTATATTTCAGGTGGGTATTTCATTCTTTAGCGAAGCCAGTGGGTTTCCAGGCCTCTGTAATTCCTCGCAGCCAGGCAGGCCTTGGAAGGTTGGAAGAGGTCCACTCCCTCTGCCTCGGATTCCCGCAGAGCAATTACTAAGAAATTGTTCTGTGATGTCATATGGCTACTGCCAAAAGTATGTTGGTCATCATATGAGATCACCCTATTTAAATCATTCTTCATGCTCACCTGTTTCAGTGCTTTCTGCTGTGGGGAAATATGTGCTCCATCTCATCACAGTTCTGACAATCGCCCCCTTTATCCAAGGACATAAGCATCATTACCAACAAACTCCACATAGTGCTGTGCCATTCCAAGACTGACCAACAGGGCAAAGGTACCTTAATCATGTTGTCTCAGCCCCTTCCTGGTAGCCCTTGCCCAGTAAAAAGTGCCAGCCCTTACATTTCTATCCAGCCGCCTGTCCTGGGTGCATTCTTTATTCACGCCAGTGGGTCCTGCCTATCTAGATATCAATTTCCAAGTATTTTGCGAAAATATTCAGAAGGTTTGATGCTCCCCTTGTCATAATTTGGCACCCCCTCTTTTCATATTGGTGCGGCTACCATTCCTTTAAGTTGGACCTCACAGCCACAAGAATCCAGGCCATCGGCCTCTGACACTCAGCTGCCTTTCACTCTTACATTCATCCGCACTTGGCTTAATGTTTGTCTTATCTTAATCTATACAGGTCAGCTCAGAACAGTTTGGATTGTAGGGCACAGTATTGTTTATTGGGCTGGTCAGTACACTGCCTTCTCTGGTTGGGGGAATTGCTGGGCCTTAGCAAGGATCTCCGTGTCACCTGGTTGGGCCAGAGGGGAATGTGTTGGGCTTCCCTGTTGTAAATGGTGTCATAGCAGGTTTTTGATCATGGCCTACCTGATGCCTTAATTATTCAGCTGGGAGAGAATGATTTATCTGCTATGAAGGGATCTGAATTATGGAACATGTTAAGTCTCTCGCTTAACAAAGCAGTTGGAGAGTGATTCAGCAAGAACACAACTTTATTCTTCAACTCGAACACAACTCCAACACGGATCAAAATCTGATAGCCAGAACAGCCTTTACATTGCAGCTGTCCTGCTTTTAAACATTCCCGGCTAATGTAGCCACACCCACTGTACAAATACCAATCAATAAGGTTGTTCACATAAGGACCAATCATGGATGTTCCCGCTCAGGGAACTTGCTTGAAAGTGATTGGTTAGGCGCTTCCTGGGCATGTAACACAATTGGATGGATTTGGATAATAGCCCAGGACGAAGCTTTACGTTAGATGTTTCACAACATATCATGCATTCAAGGCAGCTTTGAATACACTACAGCACACTATCTCTTTGGATCTTCTCATGGCAAACCTTCCCCTGACCAGATTATTCTGGTCAGAACTTTGGGAATACTGGAATTGGAGACCAGTTATCAACCCAAAGAGAGTGGGCTTAGCAAGAAGGAAGGTCTGTATTTTTATTTATTTATTTATTTGTTTGTTTTATTTATCCTTGGATTTATATCCTGCCCTACCTCGAAGGCTCAGGGCGGCTGACAAGGGCACAATGTGCCAAGATTATAACAATAAAACACACAGTATAAAACAATAAAATCCAATAACAAATTTAGAATACAAATGTAAACAAAGATGGGTAGATCTTAAACCCAGCGGTAGCTTCCTGAAATCTATCATCCACTTCGTGCCAGGGGCGCCTCGCCCCCCAGTGGGATCCAAACAATCGTGCTGATAGTACGACAGTGCATAGAAGGCAATGGTGCAATAGTAGTGGCGGTGGCTCCTACTCAAAGGCCTGGCAGAAGAGCTCCGTCTTGCAGGCCCTGCGGAACTGAGAAAGGTCCCGCAGGGCCCGGATCTCCTCCGGGAGCTCCTTCCACCAGGTAGGAGCCGCCACCAAAAATGCCCTGGTCCTGGTCGCCGCAAATTTAACATCTCTGGGGCCTGGAATTTCCAGGAGATGTCAACTCCCCGACCATAGTCCCCTTGGGAAAACATATGGAGAAAGGCAGTCCCTCAGGTAGGCTGGACCCTGGCCATAAAGGGCTTTAAAGGTCAGAACCAGCACTTTGAAGCGAATCCGGTATGCTATCGGCAGCCAGTGCAGTGCTTTCAGCACAGGCTAAATATGGTCCCTCCTCGAGAGACCCATCAACAGCCTGGCTGCAGCATTCTGCACTAGCTGCAGCCTCCGGATTTGCGACAAAGGCAGCCCCATGTAGAGAGCATTATAGTAGTCTAGCCTTGAGGTAACCATCGCATGGATCACCATGGCCAGGTCCTCATGGCTAAGGTAGGGGACCAACTACCGAGCCAGCCAAAGATGATAAACGGCCGCCCTGGCAGTGGCTGCCACCTGGGCCTCCATCGTTAAAGAGGAGTCCAGGTGCACACCCAAACTCCTAACCTCTGATGCTGGTACCAAAGGCACCCCATCAAAGGTCGGGAGAGGGAGCCCCAGCCCTGAGCTGATCCGACTCAGGCCCAGGACCTCCGTCTTTGCCGGGCTTAGTTTCAACCGGCTCAGCCTGAGCCAACCAGCCACAGCCTGTAACGCCCAATGCAGGTCATCGGGGGCAGAGTCTGACCAGCCGCCTAGCATCAGATAGAACTGGGTGTCATCGGCATATTGATGGCACCCAAGCCCACAGCTCCGGGCAATCTGGGCAAGGGGGCGCATGTAGATGTTAAACAACATCGGGGACAGCGCAGCCCCCTGAGGCACCCCGCTCTCAAGGGGATGTCTCCGGGACTGCTGGTCCCCTATCGCCACCCTTTGTCCCCGACCATGGAGAAAAGAGGCAAACCATTGAAGGGCAAGCCCCTGAATCCCGGTGTCGGCGAGGTGGTGGGTCAGCAACTGGTGATAGACCGTATAAAAAGCGGCCGACAGATCTAACAACACCAGTGCTGCCACACCGCCTCGATCCAGGTGCCTACGGAGATCGTCAGTCAAGGCGACCAGCACCGTCTCCATCCCATGACCCGGGCGAAAGCCAGACTGGTAGGGATTGAGGACGGAAGCATGGCAAACCTTCCCCTCACCAGATTATTTTGTTCAGAACTTTGGGAGTACTGGAATTGGAGACCAGTTATCAACCCAAAGAGAGTGGGCTTAGCAAGAAGGAAGGTCTGTATATGCACAGGAAATGTCACCATAGGTTTGGAAGTTTCCATTATCAAACACGTGGGCATTTCTTTTTGGCAGGAGTCTTTGTACAGAGGGGACGGGGTTCACCTTTCCAAATGGGGAATGGACATCTGGCTGTTCAGCATACAGGATGCTCTGCTTTGTTGGTTTCATGCTTAGGAGCCTTAATGGGAGCGAGGGAGGGCTTCCCCCCTCCAGTGGTGGTTTTTGAGCATCTGGGCAGATCCTTTGGGGGGAGACGGGTCTGCATGTCCACCTCCCCCTTTGGGGACTCCTTTAAGGGGTCTTGCAAGTTGAGCAGTTATCACAGTGGGAAACAAATGCTGTGCTGAGCAACTGTGACTGGGACATCATCCAGGAAATCTTGTCAGTTTTCCTATGTTTTAATGTGATATTTGACCTCTGAAAATCCATCTGCGAGGGTTTGCTTTTGAAAACCACTTGGAACATGCTATTAAAATGCTGTGGCTGTACTCCTTAACAGGACAGAAATTAGGAGCACATTACATCAGTGCTGTGGGGTCTTAATTAGCTTCCCCCAACTGGATATCGTTCAGAATAGTGGCCATAGGCTATAAATTGGGGTATTACATCATCCTTCTCAATCGCAGTTCCAAAGATGAACTTGAAGAGCTTCCTACCACCTATTTTATATGTCAGCTTAAAATCAAGGGCACACAGAGCTGCTATTGCATTACTGCAGTCTGCTCCACACTTCTTGAAAACTTTCTCCTTGGAAGTTCATCAGAGTCTGAGTCCAAGCACAGTCTGGAAGCAATGACGATCCTTTCCATTTTGGTAGCAATCTGGTGGGTAGGCTTAAGTAAACAGGAGTTTGTGGGTTTTTTTAGTCACTATATTTTTATTAGTTTTCTTTTTTTGTCACTATATTTTTATTAGCTTTTTTAGCCACCATGAATTATGATGCCTTCGTTTTCATGGCTGATGTAGTGAACACTCCAAAAACTTCTTATTTTAAGAGTAAGAGCATCAATGGCTGCCCAGAGCAGACCAAGTTATTACAGAGCATATATACAGGTTTTGAGGGGCCCAATCCTTAATAACAATTAAAAAAACAACATAATAACAGACAAAAACAATATCAGGCATCAAAATAGAGTAAGACAAATTACAAAACCTGTTAAATGCCAACAAATCCAATGTGTTTAGATTTGATAATGCTTTTGAGCTTGAGGCCCAGAGCAAATGGCCCTCCTGACCGCCCCCCCCCCATTGGCCCTGCCTCAGCCTTCTTAATTCTTATGAAATTTCATTCTGCTACTTACATAGCATCTTAGTCACTGACTTCCTGGAGGGTCTTTGAACATTCATTCCCATTTCATCTGTTTCCAGAGTCCGATCTCCTTTCAGCTGGCAATAGAGGGACAAAAAGTTAAGATAAAGCTTAGAAACAATGCATCAGGAACAAAACAAGTGACATTTTTGAAATCTGAGTGAAAGTAAGGTTTCTTCTATCTTGTCTTTGTGATTCACTAGTTATGAGACTTCTGCCATATGACATGCTATGCATTAAACAAGAAAAATTACATCATGTATTCCAGGCCTCTTTGGAAAACCCTCATGAAGTAATATATATAAAAAAATGAAGAGTGGGATATTCTACTTATATAGGTACCTTATAAAAATGTAAGAGAAGCCATGTTGGATCAGGCCAATGGTCCATCCAGTCCAACACTCTGTGTCACATGGTGGTCAAAACCCAGATGCCATCAGGAGGTCCACCAGCAAGGCCAGAACTCCAGAAGCCCTCCCACTGTTGTTGCCCAAGCACCAAGAGTACAGAGCCTCACTGCCACAGACATAGTGTTCCATCTATACCTTGTAGCTAATAACCACTGATGGACCTCTGCTCCATATGTTTATCTAATCCCGTCTTTGAAGCTATCTATGCTTGTAGCCACCACCACTTCTTGTTGCAGGAAATTCCATGTGTTAATTACTCTTTAGGTGTCACTTGTTTTGTTCCTGATGCATTGTTTCTAAGCTTAGCTTCCAAAATCTGAGTGTTCTGGTCACAGCATTCTGGCTTACAGACTGTAGCAACTGTAACTTCTGGACACTCTTCAAGGGCAGCTCCACACATGGCACATTGCAGTAGTCTAATCTAATTACCAGGGTACACACCACAGTGGCGGTATCTTTTATATCCAGGAGTGCTGCAGCTGGCTTACAAACTGAAGCTGGGAAAGGTGGCCCTGGCTACTACTTGTCCACCAGGTGGGCCAGGTCCAGCAGTACCCCCAAGCTACAAACCCACTCCTTTAGGGGGAGTGTAACCCAATGCAGAACAGGAGCTATCTCTGTTCCTTAGTTAACCCCCCCCCAATAGCCGATTAACTTTCATTCATCCCAAAACTGCCTCTAGGCTCCTGTTCATGGTTTCTACAACCTTGCTGGGATCTGCTGGAAGCATGAGATAGAGCTCAGAGTCATCTGTATATTGGTGGCAACTCAGCTCAAATCTTTGGATGACCTCTCCCAGCACCTTTACACAGATGTTGAAAAGCACAAGGAATTAGATAGAACCTTGTGGAACCCCATAGGCCAGAGGGCAGAGCCATCAGAAAGCATTGTATTTTTCTAATGTGCACAGCTGTTCTATGTGCTTACAAGTTCCACAAAGCAATAAACACAGTAGCAGGCCAAACAGATAAACCTACTACAGTCCACAGATATCTATTCTGCTGTGAGCACAAAGCAAAAAATTTAAAGAGCGTATAACTCAAGCAGATAAAAGTACTATAGTTTCCACTTTTATTCACATGTAACACACACATTATTAGGCCTGTGTGGTTGTTTTGTTTTTTCTTAGTTATTGATTTATATATATTGTGTGGGTGTCAGTGAGAAAAATCAGATATAATTTTAAAATGAACAATTTGAATAAATAAATGTTATTAAGCCATTAAGGGTTTAGCATTCAAGATTTAGAACACGTTCTGAAAAACAGTGCATCCATTTTACAGAAGGCAAACACTCAGACTACATCTCCAGTTCAAAAGCGAATTGCCAAATTCATACCATGAAAAAAACAAACTCTTGGCATTTTGTGTTGATGGACAGGACAACAGACTTGGTAGCAGAACTGGCAGGTAGCCTGTGACTATAACCACCCCATCTAGGAATGAAGGGCCCTGAGAATAGAGAGAAGGAGAAGGAAAACTACCAATGGTTACCTGTCCTCCCAAACCGCTCTTCTCCCTCACCTCCTCACCTTCTCCAGGCTGGATCTAGACTAAATAACCCAAGGAGAAAAACAAACTACAGGCTGATGCTGTCTATCCCTGTTGCTGTCCTCCAAGCATCCATTGGCACAATGTGCATGGAGGCTGCCTGTTTTCTGACCTGATCAGGGACTACAGAGCATACAGCATGAATAAACAAGTGGAGTGGGGCAGGAATGAAAGGCACAATCTGCTAGCCCTCTCCATGTTCATTATCTATGACATCAGAATGTATTTTTTAAAAAGACTATTAGGGCTTCCACTGGATAGTACTAATAAGAACCCATTTTGGGATGCTGTTTAGAGATGAGTGCTGGCAATTTCCCCCATTAGCCACCACTTAAGGGCCCATATAGCTTAGCTAGACATGTCTAAGTCCCACTGAAACTGCTGCACTAAAGGCCATGCACAGTTCAGTGCATATTTACCTTAAGTACATACTTCAAAATAATTTCCTTCATAATCAACAGAATGGACTTTTAAATAAATATGCAAAGGCTTGACTAAGTGCCATAAGGGTGCTATCCTGACATCAGCTCAGATTCCATTGTAACATCCACTCTGACTTTATCCAGCACGGTTGCATTCTTAAATAGGATGCACTATAAATACAAACAGCTGTGCCCAGAGGGGGAAAAGGAGGATTTTAGAAAATCTGTTCGTAAATGCTAAATGCCATAGGGTTAATTATGATTATGTCTTGAGTATCTCAGTACTACATAGCATAGAGAAGCATTTTGTTTTGTGTTGTTTTTCAAGTATATTGCTGTGTCACAACGATAAATACTGTGTCGCTGTTGCTAGGATAAATATTGCTGTGACAGAAAAATAGCCTCTGAACTGTTCAAGCAGATTTTGCATACATTAGTTGTTTTGCTTGTTACAGTCCTATATGTATAAAAATGAATTAAAACACTTTTATATGGAATAGATTCCTCAGTAGAAGAATCTGATAGGCTGATAAATGACAGCAGTGATTTTATATTGACCATAATTAAAAAGCTCCTAAACAGTTGATATGGTGCAATAAATCATAAAGCATAAAATGGAAGAAAAATGAAGGCAAAACCCAGAGAAGTAGCAAGAAATGTCTATTGTGCTGCCAGCAAGGGGTCTTATCTCTATTTCTTCTTGGACATGAAGTGACACTTTAGTATACATCAGTGTTTCTCAGTCTAGAGAACTCTTGGAGTATGCAAGGGTAATCCAGTGAGTCCATGAATTTTTTTGCAAAGAGAAAGGGTCACCCCGCAAGCTAACACAGACTGCTGTCACACACGTTAGATAATCCACTTTCAATCCACTTTTAATGCACTTTCCAACTGGATTTTGCCAGTTCACACAGTAAAATCCAGTTGGAAAGTGCACTGAAAGTGGATTGCAAGTGGATTATTTAGTGTGTGTGACATCAGCCACAGTATATTTTCTGGCAATGGAAGAAGAGACTCTTCTTTGGGGAATGGAGACAGAATCAGATCCCCCTTTCTGATGTATGGGAGCTCACAGAGATATTGTTGTCTCCTATCACCTAGTTTTCAGATCACCTCACAACACTGTGTAGAAAACCCCCCAAAACATCCTGACTACTTGCTGAGCTCTAATTGTTTATTGATAGGGGATTCTGTTAACAGCACCAAGGAACTACAGTCCTAGTCAAGTCATCACAATTACTTCCTGTATAAAACTGAACTGGTTTTAGTCTATTTCCAATGTAGTGGATATTACCATAAAGATGGTGAGATGACACTCTGCATCCATATTCAAATGAATACTAGACATTTTGGTTTTGTAGGATGCTAGGGTTTTTTTTGGTCTAATTCTATGAACAGCTCAGACATCTCTTCCAGGATTCTTCCCACTCTTGTTCAGCAAGCCATTGGCTAGAAGTTAGTAACCAATAAGGAAATATCTTGCTCTTTCTAGTACAAAGTTCCTTCCAGTCAAGGAGCAAATCTGAAGAATTTAGGTCAGGGCCCGTTGAGCTGTGGCATTACGAAATCAGCTGCTTCAGAGACCGAACCTTGTAGCCTAGGTGCAAACCATGTAACATTGCATTTAAATGTTTATTTAAATGTCACTGAGCAGAGAGACTGGGTGGCTCAGAGCTCTGAGTCCACCTACACCCAAATCCCAGCAGCAGCCTTGGAAACACCAAGAGGGGCCCTCCAAAGCTTAACAGGCATTGCTGGCCACCAGTCACAGAGTTCCCGTTCTGCTCTATGGTCTCATAATGCTATATATTCAGTCAGCTCAGCCATTTCATCATTCCCTTGGAAGTGGGGAAGGGGAGCAAAAGGGATCAATGAATTGGCTTCCAGCCATGTCAGCCGAACAGCAAACAGGCTCACCTGCCCTGCTGTTAGGTTTAAATGGCTAAGGGCCCTTTCATCGGTCCCCCCTGCTTGGAAGCAGGAAGGGAGAACAAAACACCTGCCTGGTTATTAGGGAAAGAAGAAGAAGAAGAAGAAGAAGAAGAAGAAGAAGAAGAAGAAGAAGAAGAAGAAGAAGAAGAAGAAGAAGAAGAAGAAGAAGAAGAAGAGGAGGAGGAGGAGGAGGAGGAGGAGGAGATTGGATTCATACCCCACCCTTCATTACCCAAGGGAGTCTCAGAACGGCTTACAAACTCCTTCCCCTCCCCACAACAGACACCCTGTGAGGTAGGTGGGGCTGAGAGATCTCTGACAGAAACTGCTCTTTTTCAAGAATAGCTGCATCAGAACTATGGCTTGCCCAAGGTCATCCAGCAGGTGCAAGTGAAGGACTGGGGAATCAAGCCCAGTTCTCCCAGATTAGAGCCTGTGTACTTATCCACTACACCAAACTGTTCAAATGCCTCCTGAACTCGCTAAGTCATGCTGCAATTCACAAAGTGCTGCGATTCACAAAGTGAACTCAAGGCATTTAAAGTTGAAATGTTTAAATGCTTTCTGAACTCCATTATAAAAGCTGAAATGCCTTCTGAACTCCATTATACCCCATGGGGATGGTTCCCATAGGGTATAGTTAAGCCAAATATTTACCCAAATCCCAATATAATACTGATATTAGGATTTGGGCATATTCATGAAATACTGATATTTCTCACATCCAAGAGACCTGAAACAGAAAAATACCATTTTTTTTGCA